GTTGGATGGTTTAGGCCTTGTTTAGTGTCTAGAGCTGATCTCTATCCTTGCTTGTTAGGTTAGTTACCGTCGGAAGAATAAATTAAGGAATGTTAAAAGACTCCTTTGGCTCTTCTATAATCAAAATATCTGTCTTAATTTTATGAGATTCCATGAGGAACTGCCTATTCTTCGGAGGATGAGATTTTTCTTCTGAGGTAAAAAAGCGTTAAGTTTATAATATACAATAAGATTGGTAAACTGGATTGTGACAATTCACTTTCATCGTCTTCAAGATTGTTTACTTGGAATTATCTCAGTTTCCTTAAATATAAAGATCTATAAAGTAGATTTAGGAATTTGTTCTTTGTAACCCATATTATCAGTTTTAGAGAATTTTTCACGACGTTGCTGTCATAAAACACAAAAACCAAACCCAGTTCTACACTGTCCTGTAGGGTCGCTATGAGCTGGAATCGACTCAATGGCAATGGGTTTGGTTTTGGGGTTCAAACTGCCACCCTTTAGGTTAGTAGAGGAGCGTAAACCGTCTGTGCTACCCAGGGACCCTGAATTGCATACTCATGCATTCTACTTTAAATGCTCTCTATGTTAATGCTCCAAGAAAAATTTCTAGATGCATTTTTCAAGGAAACATTCTGTTCATAACATTAATCTAAGGCAAGTAGTTTTTCACAATTTAACAATAAGTATGGTTATTTAAGTGAAATATATTTTTTTGTGTGTGGAATGAAGTTCTGAATGTATTAATTCTAAACATGCTCTATTTAACACGACCAGGGTTTAGTTTTTACCAGGGTAATCCCCCCTTCCCTTCATGGGACATTTGGAAATGTCTGGGAATGTATTTAGTTGGCCCAAGACATATTTAGCACCCACAGTGGAGATGCTAGTGTTGTCTAATGACAGAAAGTTAGACGGCCCCCAATGACAAAGAATTATCTAACTAAAAGTGTCCGCAATGCCAAGGTTGAGAAACCCTGATTTAACCTAATAAACCAACTACTCTCTGTAGTATACTTACAAGACCCTGAAGTTTCCATAGATTTGTGCATTAACTCAATCGGAAAGGAGTTAAAATAACTATGTAGTTTGCTAATAGGCCAACATCTGAAAAATGTACTCTGTTTCCTTCTGCTGACCCTTCTATTATCGTGTGAGGATCTTGTATTTGTGCCAAAGTAGTATATTTGTTCTATATACTTAAGGGTCTACCTTGGTTTAGTTTAAAAGGTATGGGAAACATAAGATAAGGAAGTGCCTACACTCTACCAGGAACGGTGCTAGGTGCATTTACATATATCTTATTTCATTATAGCTCAGATTACTACCCTTATCTTATAGATGAGGTTCCAAAAGGTTAATCAACTTGCTCAATATCAGACAGCTTGTAAATGACAACTCTGTGACTATTATTTCAAGTGAGAATATATATTATTAAACTCATTAACACTATCTGGTATATACAAAGAAAATTTTTGAATCACTAATGATTATTAACACTAAAAGAAAATTTCTGAATCATTGCTAGTAGTTAATGGTGTGGGGAGGGTGCTTAGCTTTTCACACATATCCTTTGGTACTACTAGAATTTTCATTACGCATATATTACTTTTCATTTGAAAACTAATAAATAAAAACAACTTTAAAAAAACTGAATTAAACAAATAAATGGCAAGCTTCTCAAACTGATTATAGTATTAACTCTTGGCAAAGTTGTAAAGTAGGAGGTAGCCTGGGTGCATGTACCCATTCTTGTTTTTAACCCAATATCCTACTCAGTATCCCTACTCCAAAACTTGCTCACTTACCCAGGTCCCAGAAAAGGATCTGATAAAGTTACTCATATTAACATTAAAGTTGTTATTATTTCATGGTGTTGTCATTGAGCAGACAGCAGTATCTTAGGTCAAAAGAACGACTCTAGTACTCTAATATCAGACTGGTAGAAGAGATTTGGAAGCATAGCTTTTCTTCACCTGTAGTCCTGAAACCACATTCTATATGCAACCACGTACTAAACCATTCAGGCGGCTCTTAAAGAGAAGCTCTGCCTTTGTCAGCCAATGTCAAGCCTTCAAAACAGAACTGGGCACTCAGTGGGGAACAGGGCACTTAGCTGACTGAGCAGAACCAGTGATTGGCATGTGCATGACTAGCTCCAAGTATACAAATTTTATTGCTTAATAAACACCAAAACCTCACTATTTCCCCACATAATTTCTTTCCCACCTGATCTGAGCCTCCCACCAGGAGGGCCAATCAAGGCAAGGAGTAGAATAATGACCAATTTATACATATACATATATATATATATATAGACACATATAAATTAAATATATATATATATATAGACACATATAAATTAAATACATATATATATATATATATATATACACACACACACATCTCCCTAGTGGTGCAATGGTTAAGCGCAAGTGCTTGCCTGCTAACTGAAAGGTCAGCAATTTGAACCATCTGGCCACTCCGGGAGAGAAAAGACCTGGTGATTTGCTCCTGTAAATATGTCAGCCTAAGAAACCCTAAGGGCAGTTCTAAACTGTCCTATAGGGTCGTATGAGTCAAAATTGACTCGACGGCACACAACACACACACATACACACATATCTCTCTCTCTATATATATATAAACAGTTGCTGTCAAGTCAATTCCAACTCATGGTGACCCCATGTGTTTCAGAGTAGAACTGTGCTCCATAGGGTTTTCAGGGACTGTGATCTTTTGGAAGTAGATCACCAGGACTTTCTTCCACAGGTACCTCTGGATGTATCTGAACTGTCGACCTTTCGGTTCGTAGCTGAGTACTAACTGTTTGTGCCACCCAAGGACTGTTTCTGTGTATATATATATCAGTAACTCAGTGCTGTGAGAACTGAGGGTAAAGTCAAATTCTTTACTAAGCTTTGAGAAGCCAACACTCTCCTAGAGCTAAGCTTCCTAATCTGTGTGAGAACTTTGATCATACGCATGCTTTGAGAGTCCCATCATACTCCCATCCTCTTAAAACTTTTCCCCACTCCCTGCAACCCAGCTGTCTCCTAGTGTGGCCAAAGAGAAAAGGAGAACAATCAAGGGTGAGAGGTTGATTCAGCAAGAGCAATGACTCTGCATCCCACATTCTCAGACTGTCGGATCACCGTACCTTTTGAAGAAGGAACACATGAAAAACTGAAAACAAACAAACAAATAAAAAACAACAACACCCTGGTTACGGCTATGTATTCAAATGCTAGGGTTACAGCACACATGACCACATGTTGCCCTTGTCACTTCCTTCACAGGCAACTTTAAAAATCATTCTAGGATTTGGGAAACGACAAGTTTTATTCTGAAGACTGGAGCCTCTACCACAGCGCCCATGCTAGAATTAAGTGAGGACTGAAACAAAAAGGAGGCTCTTGGTCCTGACTTAAATGAGTTATATTCTCAGCCTTTACTGAATAAATGTATGAATGGAAATTTTTTTTTATTGACTCTTAAATTGTTACCAAAGACATTTTCCATCACATCACTCATTTGTCCCTATATAAGTTCTCATGTAAAAATAAACTTCTCAGAATTTAGCACTGGGAAAATATTTATGACTCTTTAAAAAAGAAAAATTGGCATGTTTCATCCTATTAGATAATCAGAATTTTTCACCCAGTCTACTACAATAGCCTTTCAATTGGTCTCCCTGTTTCCATTCTTAACCTCCTATAGTCCATTCTCCCACAAGAACTAGAATGATTATATTATATAGAAATCAAATCATATCAATGTCCTGGACAAAACTCTTCTAAAAATTCCCATCACACTTAGAATAAAATGCAAAGCTTTTCAGGGACTACAAGGTCTAATATGCTCTGCCCCAGGCTACCATTTTTGCTTCATTTCCCCCTGCTTTCCCTTCTCTGTGCCATTCCTGGCACACTGGTCTCCTTGTTGCTTACACTCTAAGGGCCTCTATGCTCATTGTTCCTACTGTCTGGAATGCTCTTCTTCCTGCCCCTCATGTGGCCTGCAACATTGCTTCGTTCATATCTCTATTCAGTGTCACTTCCTCAGCGTCCTTACCACCCCCTTTAAAATAACAACCCCATAACTCTCTATGCCCTTAACTTACTTTGATTTTCCTCATAGTGTTTATTCACCTCTTGACATTTTGTTGTTGTTGTGTCTTCACTATTCCAACTCATAGCGACCCTATAGGACAGAGCAGAACTGCCCCATAGGGTTTCCAAGGCTATAAATCTTTACAGGAGCAGATCGACAGATTTTTTCTCCTGAGGAGCTGCTGGATGGGTTCAAACTGCTGACCTTTCAGTTAGCAGCCGAGCACTTAACCACTGCGTCACCAGGGCTCCTTTATTACATCACATATTTATTTCTTCAATGTCTGTGTTCCTCTACTAGAGTGTAAGCTCTATGAGAGCAGAGACTATTGTCTGATTTGTTCGCTGCTGTCTCTCCAATGCTTAGAAGAGCGTCATATAATATGCACTCAATAATTTGCTGAATCTCAAAATAAATTAATGTATTTTGTATTTTGTTTTGATTTGTTTGCTCTGGTTGGTAGGAAACTTAGTATTAAATTTAATGCTGAGTCATAGTAAACATATTAGCCTTCATGCTGAGCATATATACTTCTTTCTTATTTTTTAATATTATGGTCTATTCTTAGTCTAATAAACTTATATATCCCCTTTATTATGAGATACTTCTAAATAGTTTGGAATGCGACAGAGAAATACACCAATTGGCAGGTAGGCTGGGTGCCTGCGAGGGAACCCAACTAAGTGGAAAAGGTTGGGTGTGTTTGTTTATCTGTAGTAATGCTTGAATGTAATACAAGACAGATTTGAATAAAATACAAGGCAGCCCTCAAGCTAGAAGCACAATTCTTTGGCTGTAGATTGAAGTTTGGGAGCCTAGAAAGAGCCAGATACAGTGAGCCAATGGGTCTAGCAGAGCCAATGAAGGAGGGAAGCAAGTTTTACCTTCTCATTTCTGCAGTTGTTCAGACCCATATTATTCATGGAGGACAGTTTCCCATCAACACCATGTGGCTGCTGCTGCTGTTGCTCCCGCTGGATCTGTTCTCGCATCTTCCGAGCCTCCTGAATGGCTTTCATCACTGTATCCTGATCCCCAAACAGGGCAGGCGAGTTGAGACTGGACAGGATATCTGTGTAAACGGAATGCACTATTAGTGGGCTTGTGAGGTTAGACTCTTAAAAAGTTCTCCTACTATCCACTCCCCTGTAGAATGCTCCATTCTCTGACAAGGGGCACATGTGCTATTAAGAATACTAGGCAATATTATGCACAGAGCACAGAAAGCCAGGGCAACCAAGTTGTGCTGTTTCTTTAGTCCTTGGAGGATACCCCACCACTCCAATTTATTTAGGCTCTGCCTACCCACCTCCTCACCCCCCAGATAAAGCTTCCTAGGTTCCAACTGTGTGTATAGTGGGGGTAGATACCTGTCTCCCCATGTGGCTATGTCTTACAATGGTGTGCTGTCCTGCCTTCTTTGTGAGAGAGTCGTGGGGAGGAAGGGGGCAGGGTGGTGGTAGTGGGAGGGGAGATATGTGTCCCAGCTACCTGTTACATTTGTTGTGCTAATGCAGGAAAGCTGCTTCTGGCCTAGCAGAAAAAATCTGTGAGGCTACATGGGTATTTTCGTGACATCCGAATCTGGGTGTTCATACGTCCACTGCAGGAGAGAGGGGGCGGGAAAGAATGCACCGCACTCTCCATTCTCCAATTGCAGGCTGGTTAATGAAGCATCCTACTCATCATGCTGCCTTAGTTATTTACCAAGAGAATGACAACCCCCTCCCCACCCCCACCCTCAACACCCACTGCTCTCAGCACCCTATCTTTGCGATAGTGAGGCTGTATCACTGGGAATGGTCTTCACATAAGTACAAAGCTTCCAATAAAGTGAGACTAAATATTTACTTTCATTATATTCTATGCAACACAGAGGGAAACATTAAAATTAAATCGACTAATTTTCTCTATATCTTGCCTTTTATTTTAGGTAAGATCAATACTTTGGATAAGTTTTTCCAATTTTAAACAGAAAGAAAGCAATTATTTACTAATTGATTTTAGCTGCTGTGGAAAGTTTAACTTGATCCACCTGTTTTTAGTTGTGTACGAGCATTTCAGAGTGTGTGTGTGTGTGTGTGTGTGTGTGTGTGTGTGTGTGTGTGTGTGTGTGTGTGTGTG